GGGTGGAGCCACCCTGCCCTTACTTTATACCTGCTGTCTCTTGTCTTCACACTGACATTGATCATGTGCTGGAAATCTCATGTTCCCAACCTGGAAAAGCCTTGTGTATCCTCAGCCTGCTTTCCTAGCTCCATTTCTCCAGAGAGAGCAGAGGGATTTCCTCTATTTCCCTTTCAACAGCAGCCAGCAATGAGGCAAGAGTGTAAACAGATGTGGAGTGAATCCTGTGGGAGATAAGATCTACCTCTCTGTGCAGGGTAAACCCTGGGTTGATGGTCTCTCCTCAGAGATATCATCCTGTGGTAAGACCAGCTTGTTAGGATGAGAGGAAATGGCCTGGAGTTGCACCAGGGCAGGTTTAGATTGGCTATCAGAAGCAAGTTCTTCAGTGAAAGGGTTGTCAGGCCCTGGCCCAGGCTGCCCAGGGAGGGGGTTGAATCCCCATCCCTGGAAGTGTTTAAAAGCTGTGGAGCTGTGGTGCTGAGGGACATGGTTTAGCAGTGGACTTGGTAGAGTTGGGTTCATGGTTGGACAGTCCTCTCTGGTGAGTGGTTTTCACCAACAGCCAAACCCCAGCAATTCACAGTCCAGAAAGATCTGCCCCCACCATGTCCACAGACTGGATCAGACATGAACTGACCTGACACGGGCCATGAAAACGTGAGTTCAGGGGTTAGAAACACCTTGTTGAATCATGTTAACTGGGGTACAAAGGTGAACTGCTCTTGTGCAACTTAGTTGTGTAGCCAAGGGGATCAGAGGTCAGGTGGAAGTTGCATCTAGAGATGGGGAAAAGATTGTCTCTTGGCTAATTGCCTTCAGAAAACTGCAGGTCTGCATCAATGAGAAAAATAATTCCTTTTTCTCTGCTGTACCAAATAGTGTTGGTTATTTTAAAAAACATCCCAGACCCCAACCCAGGCATTTTACCTTTGACTTCTCACCTTCATCTTGCCTGTCAGTTTCTCTGATGAAAACTGCATTTTGCCACTTCCTCAGTAGTTGCTCTACACAAGGAAACAGGTAGAGACAGTGTCTCTTCTGGGTGTCACTGGAAACTGGAGGTGCCTGCCAGCTCAGAACAGCTGGATCATCTGCCTCCTCCCCTTATCCTGAGGGTCTCCACTCCTGTTCCCAGAGAAAGTGTCTAACCATTCATGTCTCCAACCACAAGGAAGTTTGTGGAGGCTGCTTGCAGTTGTCATTGTGGTGTTGGAGCTGTTTCCCCCAGACTTGCCTTCCCTGGCTAAGGGAGAAGACAGGACACACCAAGGACCAAGAGAGAGGTCCCACGCAGCCTGACTTGTATGCTGAGGAGCTACTTCTCCACTGAACACTGAGGAACTCCACTGACTCAGCACAGATAGAGTTATCACAATTGAGTTTTATAAGTCATGAGAAAAAAAACCAAACCTGAAACCAACCCCCTAATGCACAGCAGTGAATCATTAGCTAGAAGATTATGAAATGCAGCACAATATAATAGCCCAAGCACCAACCTCTTGGTTTCCTTCAAGTTCCAGCCTGAAGGAGAAGTCTCATTCAGTCCCTACCGACCACAGGAACATGACTTTGCGACTTTGCTGGGCCTGGATTTTTATCCTTCTCCTCCCTGGTCTCTCAGATGGAGGGAAACTCCTGGTGGTACCCATGGATGGAAGCCACTGGCTCAGCATGAAGCAAATGGTTGAAAAACTTGTCGAGAAAGGACACGAAGTGGTGGTGGTGATGCCAGAAGTCAGCTGGAGGATGGGAGCAGCAAAGGAGTACACGGTGAAAACATTCCCAGTGTCCTACACATTAGAAGAGCTGGATCATTCCTTCAATGTAATCTATGAGAGTCACCTGAACCAGGGCCCTTTCCCACTGAACATTCTACAGCTGCTGGAGAGTACAAAAGAGATGTTCCGTTTATTTGCAACTCAGTGCAAAGACCTGTTCAACAACAGGGAGATCATGCAGTACTTGAATCAAAGCAGCTTCGATGCTGTCCTGACAGACCCCATCATTCTGTGTGGAGCAACCCTGGCCAATTATTTGTCTCTTCCTGCTGTGTTCTACGTGAGAGGACTTGCTTGCAACCTACATTATGAAATACCCCAGTGCCCAAGCCCTCTGTCCTACGTACCAAGGTTCTTCACCCTCAACTCAGACCAAATGACATTTTTCCAGAGAGTGGAAAATGCCCTGGTTGCCTTCCTGGAACTTGAGTATTGTCATCATTTCTCTGAAGATGCACGCAAGTTATCCTCTGAAGTTCTTCAGAGGGATGTGTCCTTGCAAGACCTCCTGAGCTCTGCCTCCATTTGGCTTCTGAGGCTTGACTTTGTGTTCGAGTATGTCCGGCCAGTGATGCCCAACATGGTCTTTGTGGGAGGCATGAACTGTGCTAAGAGGAAACCCCTCTCTCAGGTATGTTGTTCTTCCTCCAAATTGTACTTTTTCCCAGTAAAATGTGACCAGGTGATTTCTGGAAGTGCTGTGCTGTTGAATGTTTTCTCCTATCTATTCAGGGTTTAACACAGCCAGGTTTGGGCAGTTTTCCACAGGTTGAAACCAAATGACCTTCTTTCAGTTCATGAGCATATTCTGAAAAGTCCAACAGGAACTTCCCTTCTCATCACATCTGACAAAAAACCAAGTGGCTGGGGGTGTGAAGTTCCTTCTGTTTGTAGGTGGTGGTGGAACAGCAATGTCCTGCTGCAATGGGAGGTTGATCTGAACTCGTGTGCCTGTGACAGACACTTGTGTGCAAGGCTCAGCTACGTTTTCACTCCTCTTTTCTGTTTTTTGCTTTCAACAGAAATGTCCTGCAGGGTTTTTTAAAGCTAATCCATATATTTCATTTTATTTTGATACTTACCTTCTAAGACAATTCTATAAATCCACCTCATACTGCAGTGGTAAAATACACTTCAGGGAAGTTTGAAACAAAGCTCAACCTCTGTGCTTTGTGCATCTTCAGGGCACAGGGTGTATCAACCTGCAATGGCTGCTCCAGCCACACAGCTCATATCAGTGTCCTCTCCAGTCTTCTTTTGTCCACATCCCTCTGCCTCCATCTTTTACTGCACAGATCTTGAAAGAAGCTGCAAAACATATTTCTTTTCCACAGCAACTTTGTCTTCTGGTTAATTGTAACATTTTCTCTAATGTGAGTCTGAAGGTACAATATTTGACAAGAGACTGTGCACACAAATCTAGAGAGATTCTGAGAGCATTATGTCTAGAAATGTCAAAGCAAATGTCAGGGTATGTCCAGAGCTGTGGAAAACATCAGGGGGGAGTCAGACAGGGTCATGTTTAGCAGCCACCAACCTGCACTTCACTGTCATCCTCTTGCCTGACACTGTGTAGCACTAAAAAAGATACTTGGATTTAATTACACAAGGGCTCCTCCATGCATAAGCCTGATCCATCTTTCACAAAGCTGAGAAATCAAATTACATCCTTACTCATTCATTTGAGCAGCCCCTTCCTGCTTGCCAGAGCACAGAGGGGTGAGCAATCTCACCCAACAGCAGGAAAACAAATCCAACACTTCATCACAGGCTGCCCCAACAAACCTGGTGTTTTGGGCCTAGTGTTAGTGCTGCTCATTTACCAAGGAGCTGCTGAGCCATCCCCTTGCTGACCAGAGTGTCACCCACTCACTGCTGGCTGCTCAGCTCAGATGAAATCCACACATCACAACCAGTCCAACCCAGTGATCAGCACTTGGAGAGAGTTTTAGTATCTTTTCCAGCTGAAGCAGCTGTATGGTGAGGGGTGAGCACCCCTGCAACCAAACCCTTCAGTGAGGGGTTATGGCTGAGGTTATGGCTTAAGGTCTAAGGAAGCTCAGCTCAGAGCTGCTCCCTCAAGAGGGAGGGAGGGAGGAAGGATCAGGGCTTTTCCACCAGACATCTCAGAGGTGCTCCCTCAAGAGGGAGGGAGGGACGGAGGAAGGATCAGGGCTTTTCCACCAGACATGTGAAGAAATTGCACGTGACAGAAAGCTCCACCAGTGATGGAGAGCCCTGAATGTCTGGAATGGGCAAACTGGGTTCCTAAGGCACCTGCCCAGCCTCCTACTTACAGACCTCTCTGGTGAATGGTTTTCACCAACAGCCAAACCCCAGCAATTCACAGTCCAGAAAGATCTGCCCCCACCGTGTCCATGGACTGGATCAGACATGAGCTGACCTGACATGGGTCATGAAAACATAAGTTCAGGGGTTAGAAACACGTTGTTGAGTCATGTTAACCGGAGTACAATGGTGAACTGCTCTTATGCAACTTAGTTGTGTAGCCAAGGGGATCAGAGATCAGGTGGAAGTTGCATCTAGAGATGGGGAAAAGATTGTCTCTTGGCTAATTGCCTTCAGAAAACTGCAGGTCTGCATCAATGAGAAAAATAATTCCTTTTTCTCTGCTGTACCAAATAGTGTTGGTTATTCAAAGTGCTGGTTATTAAAAAACAGCCCAGACCCCAACGCAGGCATTTTACCTTTGACTTCTCACCTTCATCTTGCCTGTAAGTTTCTCTGAAGCTCAAATATTCTGGTTTCTGAAAAGTGACCAAGGGCCTGAAAGAAAAGTGCATTTTGCCACTTCCTCAGTAGTTGCTCTACACAAGAAAAACAGGTAGAGACAGTGTCTCTTCTGGGTGTCACTGGCAACTGGAGGTGCCTGCCAGCTCAGAAGAGCTGGATCATCTGCCCCCTCCCCTTCTCCTGAGGGTCTCCACTCCTGTCCTCAGAGAAAGTATCTAACCATCCATGTCTCCAACCACAAGGAAGTTTGTGGAGGCTGCTTGCAGTTGTCATTGTGGTGTTGGAGCTGTTTCCCCCAGACTTGCCTTCCCTGGCCAAGGGAGAAGACAGGACACACCAAGGACCAAGAGAGAGGTCCCACGCAGCCTGACTTGTATGCTGAGGAGCTACTTCTCCACTGAACACTGAGGAACAGCAAACTCAGCACAAATCAAGTCACCTCTTATGGCATCACAAGGAATGAAAACAAATAACCCCCAGTACCCAGAGTAGTGAATTATTAACTTGAAGATTTCGACAGCACAGCACAACTCAACAAGATAAACCCGTCAGCTTCTTTCAGAACTGTTATCAAGCTGCACCCTGAAGGAGAAAACTCTTTCAATCTGTACTCTGACCACAGCAACATGACTTTGCGACTTTGCTGGGCCTGGATTTTTATCTTTCCCCTCCCCAGCCTCTCGGATGGAGGGAAACTCCTGGTGGTATCCATGGATGGAAGCCCAAGGCTTCGCATGAGTGGAAAAGCTCACTGAGAGAGGACACGAAGTGGTGGTGGTGATGCCTGACGTCAGCTGGAGGATGGGAGCAGCACAGGAGTACACGGTGAAAACATTCCCAGTGTCCTACACACTAGAAGAGCTGGATAACAGCTTTAAGGAATATTTGGAAGCTCATCTGAAGGTCCTGCCTTTCCCAATGAATGTCCTAGCACTATACAAAACCTCTGTGAAGATCTTCCAGATGTTGTTTGCTCAGTGCAAGGACCTGTTCAACAACAAGGAGATCCTGCAGTACCTGAATCAAAGCAGCTTCGATGCTGTCCTGACAGACCCCATCATTCTGTGTGGAGCAACACTGGCCAATTATTTGTCTCTTCCTGCTGTGTTCTTCATGAGAGGATTCCCTTGCAACCTACACTATAAAGCACCTCAGTGCCCAAGCCCTCTGTCCTACATCCCGAGGCTCTTCACCTTCAACTCAGACCAAATGACTTTTTTCCAGAGAGTGGAAAATGCACTGGTTGACTTCCTGGAGCTTGGGTACTGTAATCCTTTCTATGAAGAGGGCATCAAGTTCTCCTCTGAAGTTCTTCAGAGGGATGTGTCCTTGCAAGACCTCCTGAATCCTGCCTCCATTTGGCTTCTGAGGTTTGACTTTGTGTTTGAGTATGTCCGACCAGTGATGCCCAACATGGTCTTTATTGGTGGAATAAACTGTGCTCAGAAGAAACCCCTGCCTAAGGTAGGTTCTTCTTGGTCCACATTATGCTTTTCCCAGTGCAATGTGACTATGTAGCTTCTGGAGGTGCTGTGAGACTGAATCTTGGAATTTCTGGTAAGGATTTGATACAGTCAGAGTTTGGCAGTTGTTTTCCACAGGTTATATCCAGTTACCTTGATGGAGGCAGGTAGCTTATTGTAATTAATAAGCATTTTCCAACAAGTCCAAGAAGAAATGGACTTAATCTGCCAGCAACAAACTACCATTCTCAGTGAATGTAGGTATGATTCACCAACCAGACACAGCTTTGATTTAGTTTTTATCAAGCCTGACATTATTTCTGGCACTTGACCTAAAACCTACAGGCCACGTGCTCAAAGACATCTTGGGTTTCTCACTCTAGGCTCAGCAAAGTCAGTTATTTGCTTTGGTTGTGTATCTTCTTCCTCCAGATTATACTTTTTCCCAATAAAATATGACCAGCTGATGTCTGGAAGTGCTGTGCTGTTGAATTTTTTTCTCCTGTCTATTCAGGGTTTAACACAGCCAGGTTTGGGCAGTTTTCCACAGGTTGAAACCAAATGACCTTCTTTCAGTTCATGAGCATTTTCTGAAAAGTCCAACAGGAACTTCCCTTCTCATCACATCTGACAAAAACCCCAGAGAGCATCTGCTGAGAGTTGCCTTGTGTTTCTCACTCTAGGCTCAGCAAAGTCACTTCATTTGCTTTGGTTGTGTTTCCATGACACAGGGTTCCCAAACTGGCGAGTTGTGTGAAGTTCCTTCTGTTTGTAGGTGGTGGTGGAATGTCCTGCTGCAATGGGAGGTTGATCTGAACTCGTGTGCCTGTGACAGACACTTGTGTGCAAGGCTCAGCTACGTTTTCACTCCTCTTTCCTGTCTTTTGCTTTCAACAGAAATGTCCTGCAGGGTTTTTACAGCTCATCCAGAGCTTTACATCTACTTTGATAGTTGCCTTGTAGTCTCTCAAGCAGTGAGCAGCACTGGCATTTCTTCCCAGGCACAGAGCAGGACACAAACCTCTTTCCCACAAAGTTACTGCCTCACTTCTGAGTTGTGCTCACACAGCATCACTGCACACGTGCAGGACTTGATCTTGGAGCTGAAGGGGCTTTTTCTTTCTTCTCACAGATTTCTTTTGGACTCTTTGACAGGCTCATGCAGAGCCCAGAGAGCTTCATAAAGAACAAAGGCAAATACAGGATAATATGATAAATTAGAATATTAGCATCATATCAGAAATAAGGCATTCAGTGGTGTTTAGTCTCATGAAAGTGGCATTTGGCAGCTTAAGAGGTAAATTCTCCCTGGTTTCATGACATCATGACTCTTGACTTCAATGTCTTGAAGGCCTGGGAGCTGCTGACAGCTTGTCCCTTGCCATAAGGGTGGAGCCACCCTGCCCTTACTTTATACCTGCTGTCTCTTGTCTTCACACTGACATTGATCATGTGCTGGAAATCTCATGTTCCCAACCTGGAAAAGCCTTGTGTATCCTCAGCCTGCTTTCCTAGCTCCATTTCTCCAGAGAGAGCAGAGGGATTTCCTCTATTTCCCTTTCAACAGCAGCCAGCAATGAGGCAAGAGTGTAAACAGATGTGGAGTGAATCCTGTGGGAGATAAGATCTACCTCTCTGTGCAGGGTAAACCCTGGGTTGATGGTTTGTCTTTAGAAATATCATCCTGTGGTAAGACCAGCTTGTTAGGATGAGAGGAAATGGCCTGGAGTTGCACCAGGGCAGGTTTAGATTGGCTATCAGAAGCAAGTTCTTCAGTGAAAGGGTTGTCAGGCCCTGGCCCAGGCTGCCCAGGGAGGGGGTTGAATCCCCATCCCTGGAAGTGTTTAAAAGCTGTGGAGCTGTGGTGCTGAGGGACATGGTTTAGCCGTGGACTTGGTAGAGTTGGGTTCATGGTTGGACAGACCTCTCTGGTGAACTGACCTGACACGGGCCATGAAAGTGTGAGTTCATGGGTTATAGAAACACATTGTTGAATCATGTTAACTGGGGTACAAAGGTGAACTGCTCTTGTGCAACTTAGTTGTGTAGCCAAGGGGATCAGAGGTCAGGTGGAAGTTACATCTAGAGATTGCTTTTACTTGCACAAAGGCATTTCTCTAGCTAAAGCCCAAGAGCCTCAGTTCACTGCAGGTTCCCAGAGAACAGTAGCAAATGCCAACCAAAAGGGGTCACACCACCCTAGTAGAGCTTTCTTTGGAAACCCAGGTTGGGGTACTCCAACTTGTTACACCTGTGTGTTGTTGTGTATGTTACCTCCTGTAGCTGGGAAGGGGGGGGAGCTCAGAAGCCTGTTTGGCTTGTTGGGAATTTCTCTGTGTGTGCTCTCAGTGGGATTAGTAAAAGATATCATATCTCCTCCTAAATTTTGTCTTGCTCACCATAAATGACAAGGGTTTTCAGGGCAGTGACCAAAGACCAGGGCTTCTCCTTTGTGTCCCTAAAGGTTTAGGCTGGCCTCCTCTCCCTTCCCTTGCCCTGAACCCATCCTTTAGTTTATTTGTTTTTTTGTCTAGTGCCATGGGAAGAAAAGCAAAACAGGATTGTTCTCCTCCTGGGTACGTGGTACATCCTGGTAGCTGTGATAGGTTCATAAGACATGCAGGTTTGACTCCTTCTGGGAGGTGGGAATTTAACACCAGCCTTCCATACACTGCTTAGGTGTTCTCAGGCTGGTCCATACAAGAGATGGTGTTGCAATTTCTATTCATTCTGCTGAGTATATTTCAAAGGTTGCCTTTTGAAAGCAAACCTGGACTTGTTTTCCCAGTGGGTACTTACCCAGTCAATGCTACTAACCACAACTAGTATAACAAGATGACATCCCTGGTCTTCTAAGTTTCATGAAGGAAGGAACATGCTGCCAAGCTTCCAAGCTTAAAAATTAACAAAGTACAAATGGGGACATCTTTTATCTACAACAATGTGATCCCTTTCCACGTTACATGAGCAATTGCAGTGTGTAGGGTTAACAACAACACTGCTGGGAAGTTAATTATTGATTTCTGCAATCAATAAGCTCCCTGCAGAAAAGTAAAAGCTTGCAAGAACCTTCACATAAAGGACTGCACCAGCTGCCTCCAGAGCACAACTCTCCACCACCATGGCTCTTCCATTTCATTCTTTTTACCAATGTGCTTGGATGTTTCTTCTCCTGGCATCATCGCCAATCTTTGCTGAGGGTGGAAAGATCCTGGTGATCCCTCAGGATGGAAGTCACTGGCTCAGCATGCGCCCCGTGGTGGAGAAGCTCCAGCAGAAAGGACACGAAGTGGTTGTGATTGTGCCATCCTCAAGTTTGTACATGAAACCAAAGGAGTCTCAGAATTACACCGTGAAGTTGTATCCGATCCCCTACACGGACGAGCATCTGGCTGGTACAATGAAGTCATTCCTTGGTGCTCATTTAATCCAGCAGCCTGTCCTGAATATGATCATCACGATGTATCAAAGCGTGCTGGGAATATCCAACCTCTTCCTCACCAACTGTAAAAGCCTCTTGCACAACGAAGACATGCTGCAGTATTTGAGGGAGAGCAAATTTGACCTGGTTTTCACCGACCCCATTCTGATGTGCGGCCCGATCGTCGCCGAGTATCTCTCAGTTCCTTCCGTCTACTTCTTGCGGGGCTTTCCTTGTGGCATGGATTATAAAGCCACCCGCTGCCCAGAACCTCCTTCCTACGTCCCCAGGTTCTTCCTAAACCACTCAGACAGCATGACGTTCACTCAGCGTCTGAAGAACGTGCTGGTCCACCTGCTGGAGCTGGTTTACTGTAAGCCCGTCTTTGCTCCCTTTGAAGAACTTGCCTATGAGCTGTTGCAGAAGAAAGTGACAGCTACAGACCTGCTGAGCCAAGGGGCTGTCTGGCTGATGAGGTACGACTTCGTCTTTGAGTTCCCCAGACCAGTGATGCCAAACATGGTTTTTATTGGAGGGATAAACTGCCATCAGAAGAAACAGCTCTCACAGGTATATGATTTTATTTGCTTTTCCTTGAAAAAGCAAGAGCAGAAGTGTTTAAGCGTCCTTACACCGAAAAGCTAACTCATAAGTATTTTAAAGGTAGAAAGCTAATGAGACATCTGGAATATTTTGTCCAGTTTTGGGCCCCTCAGTTCCAGAAGGCCAGAGAACTGCTGGAAAGAGTCCAGGGAAGAGCCACAAGGATGATGAAGGGAGTGGAACATCTCCCTGATGAGGAAAGGCTGAGGGAGCTGGGTCTCTTCAGCTTGGAGGAGACTGAGGGGCACACTCATCAATGTTTGCAGATCTGTTCAGGGCAGTATCAGGAGGACAGAGCCAGGCTTTGAGCAGTGATGTCCAGTGACAGGACAAGGGGCAATGGGTGCAAACTGGAGCACAGGAGGTTCCATGTGAATATCAGGAAGAACTTCTTTGCTGTGAGAGTGACAGAGCCCTGGGCCAAGCTGCCCAGAGAGGCTGTGGAGTCTCCTTCTCTGGAGACATTCCAACCCCCCTGGGCACGTTCCTGTGTGATGTGCTCTGGGTGCCCCTGCTCTGGCAGGGGGGTTGGACTGGGTGAGCTTTCCAGGTCCCTTTCAGTCCTTAAGAGTCTGTGATTCTGTGATCCTGCATGATGCAGAGATGTTATTTTCTGGTGTCCAGCATTCAGCTTAAATCCTTTCCTGGCAAACCCAAACTCTCATTAGGCACAAAGATTTAAACAGGCATGGTATTTTTATGCAAATGTTAAGTTGTTGTGTTGAACTAAAGTCCACCTGAGCTTTGGTGGATTGCAAATTTTCCCTCCCAAGAGGAGCCAGACAAGTTGGCTTCTGTTTCATCTAAGTCTCTTAGGCCATGTCCATCTTCACAAGAGCTGTCCCTGCAAGCAAAGCCAGGCTTGAAGGACCTGGCAATATTGCTCTGAAAGTGCAGCCTGAGGAACATCCATAAGCACAGTCTGCTCCAGGTGTCCTCCCTTCCCAGCTGTCTCCTGGCCTGTCCATCCATACTACTCTCTACACACTCTCCTTTCAGTCCCAGTGAAAGTTTAGGACTTTCTAGGATTTTAGCTACTCATCCAGTGTTTTTCTGTCATGTCCACCTCTCAGATTTGGTTCATTTGTATCTTTCCTGTTCTGTCAAAGTGTCAATATCTAACCCCAAAAGAAAACCTGTTTTTATTGTATCCTCCCCTTCTTTTCTAGGCTGTTGAAGTAGATTTTAAACGTTTTTGGGTACAGATGACTCCTGTAAAAATCCCTTATGATGATCTTTAAGGTCCCTTCCAACCCAAACCATTCTATGATTCTATGAGTAGCCTCCATGAGTCCAAATTAACCTGTGGAGTTGGAAGCAGCAAAGCCAAACCTCTACCCGGGACAGTCCAGTGCCACTTGGTTCACTCTTGATGGTTTTGTATGTTGGAACAAACGAAAAAGGAGAAACAGCTGCTCACAAGGGGTCTTCCAAGAGGACTTGGAGTAGAAGAGGGAGAGGTTGCTGATCAGACACTGAAGACCTAAGCAGATGGCTCTAAGTGTCCCACTTACCCAACCACCTCCTTACAAAGCTTTATGCTGACAGGTTATCACCAAGAGGTAAAACCAGAACTCTCATGGAATTAGAAACACACTGTTCATGTTATCTGGGGCACAACGGTGAATTGCTCTTGTGCCACTTAGATTTATGCCCGAGGGGATCAAAGGTTGGATGGATGGTGCACCTAGAGATAGGGAAAGACTTTCTCTTGG